GAGCCATTCTGAAAAGATTTGTTGACTTGAGGTGTTCTAGAGTTCTCTGAAATATTTCTAAGTCTGGTCTGCTTGTCTGATTTATCTGATCTAACTTATCTGACTGATCTGATCTTATTTATCTGACTGGGTACAACTCGACTTAATCGTGGTCCGGGTACATACGCACGGACACGACATCAGCCGACGCACAACTTTTCTTCTTAGATCTAGAGTTCATCCGGACTGACCGAAAAAGGCCAAACTAGGGTTCTCTACTCAATCGGCTATCTATCTCGGTTCAAGTCAAAACTCAAACTTTAAGTTCAACGTGATTTCTAGTGATTTTAGCTAAATCTCAACCGGATAAATTCTAGGGTTTTCACCAAAGCAGCTAAAGTCTCGAATTTGTAGGCATGCCAAACAACCTCTAAAAATTATGAAATTTAAACCACGTCATACTCAGCATTTATAAGATTTTTCGTGAAAGTTGCATCGAATTTCGAGGTCTTTATCATATTTATCAAAAATCGGGCATTTCAGCTACATATTAAAAAATGCAGTTAACATACTAAACGAACACCAAAAATTACGAAATTAAAACCTAGGCCTCAAGTCAGCTATATGAATTTTATCACGCTAGTTTTGCATTTTTTTCGGGCAGCAACCAATATTTACGGAATTTAATGTCATTTAAGCCGATAAATTCACCATAAATCTTATAATGCTCGAAATCGCCTCCCGTAAATTTTTAACATTCCTCTAAATATTCGATTAAGCTCATGGAGTAAGGTTTAAGCCGATATACCTCTCGAAAGGATCAAACTGGAAGTCGGAAAAATTAAAACGGCTAGGGAACGACCCGGTTGTGCTCGGGTGTACTCGGATCTAGGCTATGGGCTCGGTTTTTGGGCCGAGAGTCGCGGATCTGAGGAGCTGGGCTGCTGTTCGGGTCAGACCCGAGGTTAGGTGGTCGGTTCGGGGCTGAAACTGCCGGTCACGGGCTGCTGGGCTGCTGTTCGGGTCGCGGGCTGCTGTTCGGGTCGCGTGAGGTGTGGTGGAGCTGCTGGTTCGGGTCTGAGCTAAGGAGGGTGCTGGGATGCTGGTGGCTCGTCGGGTCTGGACTGCTCAGTCGCGGGTCGGAGCTGAGACGGCGTGGAGGCTCGCCGTGAAGACGCGAGCTGGGGAAGATGACGATGTGTACGGCTTGCCTGGACGTGGTCTCGAGCTCGCCGGGAAGGTCGCGAACTCGCCGGAAAAACGGGGCTGGAGAGCTGCGGGTTTGGTCGGGTCTTGAGCTGCGGCTGTGTTTGGCTCGAGCTGCGGGCTGAGCGGGTCGCAGGCCCGAGGCGAGGATCTGGTCGCGAGCTTGCTGTCGCCGGAGATGGTGGTGACGGGATGAGCTCGGGGAAGATGACAACGACGGCGGAAAGCTTGACGCCGGAGTTGGTCGCCGGATAATTGGTCAAGCCATGGTGGATCTTGGGGATTAAATGCTAAATCTTGAAAAATGGTGTGGATTTTTGGACTAGATCTTTGAAAATGAAGGTGTTCTTTGCTTGGATCTAATATTGAATGTAGAAGACAATGAATAGTGCTCTTGGGGGGCTAGGGTTTTGTGTTGGATTGTTGGGGGACAAGGAGACATGATATTTATAGGAGGGTGGGGAGCTTAGGGTTTTGCTCTTATTGGGCTTAGTATCGGGCCTAATAGATTGGGCTCGATTTTTAACGACTTGGGCTCGGATATATAATTGCTACTAGGCTCGATTTTTAAAATACTACTTGGGCATGAAAATAAATAAATTATGCAATTAATATTAATAATTCTCTGCATAATTAAAATATTACTAATTTCGATAAATAAGTCGAGCTACTAATATAATTTTGGTCTGGGGTGTTACAATCTATCCTCCTTAAAACATTTCCGTCCCCGGAAATAACAAAACTAAACATAAGGCCAACTCGACTAAAACTAGAAACTGAAAATACATAATACGATACTACTAATCAGAACTGGAAATCTGGATAGCGAGCTCGAATCTCCTCCTCTTGCTCCCACGTGGCCTCGGCCTCGCCGTGGCGAGTCCACTGGACTCGAACGAGTGCTACATCTCTGCTCCTCAGCTGCTGAACCTTTCGGTCCAGAATAGCAATCGGCTGCACCTCGTACGTCAGGTCCTGCCCGACGTCAAGCTCACTGTAACTCAACACGTGCGCTGGGTCATACACGTAATCCTTCAGCATCGAAACGTGGAAGACGTTGTGCACACCCGAAAGCTCGAGTGGCAACGCCAACCGGTATGCGGCCTCATCCACTCGCTCAAGGATCTCGAATGAGCCTAAGAAACGGGGCTGCAGCTTCCCCCTCTTCCCGAAGCGGACCACGCCTCTCAAAGGCGTGATCTTCAGGAATGCCTTATCTCCCTTCTCGAACTGGATATCTCGTCTACGCTGGTTAGCGTAACGCTTCTGTCGATCCTGTGCCACCTTCATCCGCTCACGGATCAAGGCGACCTTCTCCACCGTGTCCTCGATCAGCTTCGGACCGAGAACCTGCCGTTCGCCGACCTCATCCCAATAAAGGGGTGATCGGCACTTGCGACCGTACAACGCCTCGTACGGTGCCATCCTGATCGACGCCTGATAACTGTTGTTGTACGCGAACTCAATCAACGGCAACAACTCCTCCCATGAACTACCACGGTCCAGAACACATGCTCGAAGCATGTCCTCGAGTGTCTGGATGGTCCGCTCCGACTGCCCGTCGGTCTGCGGGTGGAAAGCGGTACTGAACCTCAACTGCGTCCCCACGGCCTCGCTTAGGATCTTCCAGAACTGACTGGTAAAACGGGGATCTCGATCTGACACGATGACCTTGGCGACTCCATGAAGTCGCACTACCCCGCGGATATAGATCGTCGCGAGCTGGTCCATGGACATCGTCATCCGCACTGGCAAGAAACGAGCCGTCTTCGTCAATCGGTCCACAACTACCCAAACCGCATCATGCTGCTCCCTCGATTTGGGTAGTCCCGTAACGAAATCCATGGTAAGCTCTTCCCACTTCCACAGTGGGATCTCCAAGGGCTGCACTAAACCCGGTGGAAACTTGTGCTCGGCTTTCACCTGCTGGCAAACCAAGCACTTCTTCACAAACTCAGCAACATCTCTCTTCATGCCCCTCCACCAAAACGACCCTTTCAGGTCGTGGTACATCTTGGTGCTGCCGGGGTGCGCCAAATAGGGTGCACTGTGAGCCTCGGTCAAGATCTCCTTCCTCAGGGCCTCGACATTCGGCACAACGAGCCTTCCCTTATACTCCAAGGCACCATCCGCGCCTCGGTAAAACCCCTCTACGCCCTCGGCAACAACCTTCGCCCTCATGGAACGGACGAACTCATCAACGGATTGATCTCTCCGAACTCGATCTCGGAGCATGGGCCACACTCTCATCGACCGAACACCTCCTACGACAGGCATCGTAGGAAGTGACTCGACGACGTCTAACTGCATCCGAGCGAACTCTCGAAGGAGCTGACTCTGCTGGGTGATCATGCAAGTCAACTCGCCCCTCGCCTTTCGGCTAAGGGCATCAGCTACCACGTTCGCCTTCCCCGGATGATACTGGATGGTGCAATCATAATCCTTCACTAGCTCCAACCATCGCCTCTGGCGCATGTTGAGCTCCTTCTGCGTGAAGATGTACTGCAGACTCTTGTGATCGGTGTAGATCTCGCACCGACTACCATACAAATAGTGCCTCCAAATCTTGAGTGCGTGGACTACGGCCGCCAACTCAATGTCATGAGTCGGGTAGTTCTCCTCGTGGAGCTTCAGCTGTCGCGAAGCGTAAGCGACAACCTTGCCCTCCTGCATCAGCACGCACCCAAGTCCCTTCTTCGAAGCATCACTATAGATAGTGAAACTCTGTGTAGGGATAGTCAGCACGGGTGCCGTAGTCAACCTCCTCTTGAGCTCCTGAAAGCTTGACTCACAACGGCTACTCCAATCGAACTTAGTCCCTTTCCTCGTCAAGCGTGTCAAGGGTAGGGCTATCTTCAAAAACCCCTCAATGAACCTCCAGTAGTAGCCTGTTAACCCGAGAAAACTCCGTATCTCGGTAACAGACCTCGGTGCTGACCAGTTCCTCACTGCCTCGATCTTCCTGGGATCGACCTCAATGCCCTCGGCCGTAATGATGTGACCGAGGAACGCCACTCGATCGAGCCAAAACTCGCACTTCGAGAACTTGGCGTACAGTCTCTCCCGCCTAAGAGTCTCCAACACGATCCTCAAATGCTCCTCGTGCTGGGCTGTGCTCCTCGAGTAGACCAAAATGTCATCTATGAAGACGATGACAAACTGGTCCAAGAATGGGTGGAAGACACGGTTCATGAGATCCATGAATACCGCCGACGCATTGGTCAAGCCGAACGGCATCACGACAAACTCATAGTGACCGTATCGGGTACGAAACGCGGTCTTCGCCACGTCAGACTCCCGAATCCTCAGTTGATGGTAACCCGAACGAAGATCTATCCGGGAAAACACACGGGCACCTCTCAGCTGGTCGAATAAGTCCTCTATCCTGGGGAGTGGATACTTGTTCTTCACCGTCAACCGGTTCAAGTCCCGGTAGTCGATGCACATGCGCAGTGTCCCGTCCTTCTTCTTCACAAAGAGGACAGGTGCTCCCCAAGGTGAAACGCTCGGCCGGATGAAGCCGCGACCCAACAACTCCTGAATCTGAGCCTTCAACTCCTGAAGCTCTTTCGGCGCCATACGATACGGCGCTTTCGATACTGGCCCAGCTCCAGGCAACAAGTCGATCGTGAACTCCACCTGACGGCTAGGTGGTCCTCCCGGTAGCTGATCCGGAAAGACGTCCACAAAATCTCTCACTATGGGTACATCTCCGGGCATGCGCTCCTCCGAAGGTTCCCCGAGTATAGTGACTAGATAGCCCTGACAATCCTCCCTCTATAGGCACTTAGTCGCCTTCGCCATGGAAATGATACGCGGTAAAGTCCTCGTCCTCGTCCCGAAGAATGTGATGTGGTCTCCATCGGCTAAGTGCAACGTCACCTCTCTGTCACGGCATCGGATGTCTGCGTGATATCTCTCCAACCAATCAATGCCGAGAATAAGGTCAAAGTCCCTCATCTCGATCACGAATGCATCTACCTCTAGAGTTCTGCCTCCAATACACATGCTAAGGTTCTTGGCCAGGGAACTCGTGACTATCTTCCTCCCCGAAGCTAGGCTGATCTCGAGGGGGTCGACGTCACTCACACCCTGGACCCCTATGGCCTCTAGACACTTGGCCGAGACGAACGAAGGTGTCGCCCCGGTATCGAACAAAGCGAAGACAGGTACATCGAGTAAAGAGAGCATGCCAGACATGGTACCTGGCTGCTCGGCGGCCTGCTCCTGGTCAAGTGCGTAAATGCGGGCAGGTGCACCTCTAGGTGGGTGCTGAGCTGGCTGTCTCGGTGCTGGCTGTCTATAAGCTGGCGGTCTCTGGCCCTGCTGAGGCTGTGGGCGATCTGGGCAGTCTGCGATCCTATGACCGGGCCTGCGGCAACGATAGCAAATGTCCGGCCCAGCTAGGCACTCTCCCCGGTGGGCGCGCTGACAAGTAGCGCAAATAGCTGGGGGCTGCGGGACCGGTGGTGCTGCCTGAGCTGGGGCTCCTGGTCGACGGTTCCTCCTATCGTCGCGACCTCTCCACTTCCTCTTGTTTCGGTGCTGCGCCTGCTGAGGTGGCGCTGGCAGGGCTGGCTGGACGGCAGCTGGCTGTCTGGCTAGTGGTGCCACTTGAGCTAGTGGCTCTGCAGGAGTGTATAGCAGTTGGGATGCCTCAATCTTCTGAGCCCGCTCAACGGTCTCAGCATATGTCAAATAGCCATGGCTGGCTACGAGCACTCGAAGGTCTCTGGTCAGGCCATTGCGGAAACGGGAGGCCTTCTTGTCGTCGGTGTCCACAAGATGGCGTGCAAAGGCGCTCTTACGAGCGAACTCCCGCTCGTACTCCTCAACCGAGTGGTCTCCCTGAAGCAAGTCATAGAACTCTCGCTCCATCCTCTCGCGAAAGTGGCGAGGGTAGTACTTGGCCTCCGAAATCCCCTTAAGCTGATCCCAAGTCAGCTCGTCTCGCTCATCAGCTGTCCTGAGACGCCAGTAGTCGTCCCACCAGTCTCCGACCGCACCCTCTATCTGAAACTCGGCACAAGTGACCATGTGCTGGTCGGATATGCCCATCATCCGGAAAATACGATCCATCTTGCGGATCCAGTCTCCTACGGCCAACGGGCCCTCCTCTCCAGTGAAGACCGGAGGGGTGTAAGTCCGGAACTGGGCTGCGACTACTGACTGATCCCGCTCTGCGGGTGGGGCTCTACGGGGCGGCATTCTGAATAGCCAAATAACAACTTGATTAGTATAGCCAATTAATAAATATCTACACTACTTGACGAATTTAAGTAATTTACCGAAAACACCTAGCTTGGCTAGAGTTCCAGTTCTGCTTAACTCTACTGATTCTAGCTCGAACTCTGATATAGTCTAGAGTTGGACTTAGATAAACTTTCTAGAATTCTGTCTAGAGTTCTCTTTCTAGTCGGAGGATAGATGGCCCCTAAGGTCTCTTACTATATTCTCATGCACTTGCAGAAATTTAAAAACTTAGGTGACTTACCTCGGAGTCGGCGCGGCGTGAGCGTGGCGTGGTCATGCTTTTCTAAACTTTTTAAGTATACAGAACCACAAGGTGGCTCTGATACCAACTGTAACACCCCGCCTAATTATTCTAGAATTTATAAAATCAGAGTAAAATTTTTGCTTTTTATTTTCGAAAAACTCTTAAACTTTATTTTCGAAAATACTCATACTAACTCGCGGGATGCTACTAACTTAAACTCTTTCTCATGCAGACGTAAATAAATACATGCAACCTAATCAAATCCGTTATATGAAGGTACCACGGAGATAAAGGCATTATACATGCATAAGTCTGAATATCTCATAATACTTACTAAGTCTGAAATGTGCGGAGGCTGAAACATAATATGTCTACGCATAATATTAATAATACATGTTCAATAAATAACATGTAAATGCGTTACAAAAAGACTACTAGTGACCACGACCACCACTGAAATCTCACACGCCACGCGCCGCTCCGTCACCTGAAAAACATAATGGGGGCGTGAGCAAAACCACTATGCTCCGCAAAGACCAATACTTAATTATATAGCATCGTTAATAACAATATCATGACTTTAAGTATATAAGAACTGATCTGAACTGAAACTGTAACTAGGGCATCTGGTGGTCATAAAGACCCTGGGCTTAAAAGCCAATCATGTGCACACTCCGGGGGATCATTAAGGCCAATTAAGGCCTCCCTCAGAATCACGGGGGATCATTAAGGCCCGCCACGGCCTCCCTCATGATGATCTAACTATTTCTCATACATACCTCGGACATGGTACGGAAATTAAAGATGATGTATAACCAGTACGTGACCCCCACCTGATAAACTGCTACTGCTAGGCAAGTGCTGACTGACTGGTAGCTGTCGGAGGCTCGACTCTCCTTAAGCTACATAAATATTTGAGCAAAATGTACTAAGTACTAAGCTCAAATAAAAACTTGATTCTTATTATTAATAGATCTTACTCGGTTCTCTCGCTCGATTAAAATATCATTTAATCTGGATTTAGATGCTTTGAGCTATTCTGAAAAGATTTGTTGACTTGAGGCGTTCTAGAGTTCTCTGAAATATTTCTAAGTCTGGTCTGCTTGTCTGATTTATATGATCTAACTTATCTGATCTTATTTATCTGACTGGGTACAACTCGACTTAATCGTGGTCCGGGTACATACGCACGGACACGACATCAGCCGACGCACAACTTTTCTACTCGGATCTAGAGTTCATCCGGACTGACCGAAAAAGGCCAAACTAGGGTTCTCTACTCAACCGGCTATCTATCTCGGTTCAAGTCAAAACTCAAACTTTAAGTTCAACGTGATTTCTAGTGATTTTAGCTAAATCTCAACCGGATAAATTCTAGGGTTTTCACCAAAACAGCTAAAGTCTCGAATTTGTAGGCATGCCAAACAACCTCTAAAAATTATGAAATTTAAACCACGTCATACTCAGCATTTATAAGATTTTTCGTGAAAGTTGCATCGAATTTCGAGGTCTTTATCACATTTATCAAAAATCGGGCATTTCAGCTACATATTCAAAAATCCAGTTAACATACTAAACGAGCACCAAAAATTACGAAATTAAAACCTAGGCTCAAGTCAGCTATACGAATTTTATCACGCTAGTTTTGCATTTTTTCCGGGCAGCAACCAATATTTACGGAATTTAATGTCATTTAAGCCGATAAATTCACCATAAATCTTATAATGCTCGAAATCGCCTCCCGTAAATTTTTAACATTCATCTAAATATTCGATTAAGCTCATGGAGTAAGGTTTAAGCCGATATACCTCTCGAAAGGATCAAACCGGAAGTCGAAAAAATTAAAACGGCTAGGGAACGACCCGGTTGTGCTCGGGTGTACTCGGGTCTAGGCTATGGGCTCGGTTTTTGGGCCGAGAGTCGCGGATCTGAGGAGCTGGGCTACTGTTCGGGTCAGACCCGAGGTTAGGTGGTCGGTTCGGGGCTGAAACTGCCGGTCACGGGCTGCTGGGCTGCTGTTCGGGTCGCGGGTTGCTGTTTGGGTCGCGTGAGGTGTGGTGGAGCTGCTGGTTCGGGTCTGAGCTAAGGATGGTGCTGGGATGCTGGTGGCTCGTTGGGTCTGGACTGCTTAGTCGCGGGTCGGAGCTGAGACGGCGTGGAGGCTCGCCGTGAAGACGCGAGCTGGGGAAGATGACGACGTGTACGGCTTGCCTGGACGTGGTCTCGAGCTCGCCGGGAAGGTCGCGAACTCGCCGGAAAAACGGGGCTGGAGAGCTGCGGGTTTGGTCGGGTCTTGAGCTGCGGCTGTGTTTGGCTCGAGCTGCGGGCTGAGCGGGTCGCAGGCCCGAGGCGAGGATCTGGTCGCGAGCTTGCTGTCGCCGGAGACGGTGGTGACGGGATGAGCTCGGGGAAGATGACAACGACGGCGGAAAGCTTGACGCCGGAGCTGGTCGCCGGATAATTGGTCAAGCCATGGTGGATCTTGGGGATTAAATGCTAAATCTTGAAAAATGGTGTGGATTTTTGGACTAGATCTTTGAAAATGAAGGTGTTCTTTGCTTGGATCTAATATTGAATGTAGAAGACAATGAATAGTGCTCTTGGGGGGCTAGGGTTTTGTGTTGGATTGTTGGGGGACAAGAAGACATGATATTTATAGGAGGGTGGGGAGCTTAGGGTTTTGCTCTTGTTGGGCTTAGTATCGGGCCTAATAGATTGGGCTCGATTTTTAACGACTTGGGCTCGGATATATAATTGCTACTAGGCTCGATTTTTAAAATACTACTTGGGCTTGAAAATAAATAAATTATGCAATTAATATTAATAATTCTCTGCATAATTAAAATATTACTAATTTCGATAAATAAGTCGAGCTACTAATATAATTTTGGTCTGGGGTGTTACATCACTCCTCACTCATCCACCAGATACCTAGGTCTCTCCCTAGGTATTGGTAGAAGCAAAAAAGAGGAATTTGACTATGTCCTACAAACTGTCAGAGGCAGGCTGATAAATTGGAAAAACAAATACCTCTCTACTGCTGGCAAGGATACTCTCATAAGAGCAGTTCTTAACTCTCTCCCAGTCTACATTATGTCATGCTTCAAACTCCCAGTTGGCATTTGCAATGTTCTTGCAAAAATGACTGTTCATTTTTGGTGGAGCAAGGGTAAAGAGCTAGAGAGAGGGGTGCATTGTAAAAGCTGGAAACTCCTGTCCATTCCTAAGCAACATGGTGATTGGGAGACTTCAGCCTGTTCAATGAAGCACTCATCCTGAAGAAATTATGGAGAATCACCACCCAACCCCATCTTCTGGTGAGTAAGATGCTAAAAGCTTGTTATTTCCCCTCATCCTCAATTTTTGAAGCTAAAAAGAAGCCCTCTGCTTCTTGGATGTGGAACAATTGGCTGGCCTTCATGCCTACTTTTAAGCAAGGAATTTGGAGAGAAATCAGAGATGGGAACAACACAAAGATCCAAGACTTTGGCTGGGTCCCAAGACTAGGCTTTAAACCACCTCAAATGACTAATAATGTGGATAACCTGGTTTATGTTTGTGACTTGCTGAGTGAGAATAGTAGAAAGTGGAACAAGGATCTTATCCAAGAAGTTTTCACTGCTTATGATGGAAAAGCTATTATGAATATATCCTCCCTAAAGCCTGGATGCATGGACAAATGGATGTGGAAATTTGATTCCAAAAGAGCATTCTCAGTTTCTGCATCTTATTCACACCTGATGGAGAGGAAGTTCAGAACTTTGGATCTGGCAGAGGGTAGCTGCTCTAGGAATCTGGATATCACAGTCAGGAAATGTAAGAGGTAAAATAAAGCACTTCATCTGGAAGTGCTTTACATGTACTCTTCTTGTCAAATCTGAGGAAAAGAGGAATGTCCATTGACCCAATCTGTAAGCAATGTGGTGAAGAGGAGGAAACTATTGAGCATGCTCTATTGAATGCAAGAGAGCCCAGCAAGTTTGGAAAATGTCCCCTCTTAACTAGGATGGCATCTCTAGTGATAGCTGTAGTTTCAAAATTTGGTGGTGGCAAGTGTGTTCTACCAAAAAATTCTGATATCTCCGAGGCTAGAATTCAGTTATCAACTTACATCCTTTGGTGGCTATGGAGATCAAGAAACCTTTGGCTATTCAAACAAAAACTTATTCCAGACAGAACCATAGCCAAAAGAGCACATATTGAGTGGCAAGAGTTCTGTAATGTGGTCTCCCCAAGGATCTTTGTTCCTGCTTAGTTTAGTTTATTGATAGTGTTTTGTTCTTCCTTTGCTTTTCCTATTTATAGTTTGTTGTAGTAAGTTGGTTTGCTGTTTCCTGCTTTTTGTTTGGGCAGTATGATGGTTGTCTGGATTGATGTCCTTTGGTTTGGTAGATGGTTGGTCTTTAGCTAGCTGGCACTAGGTTTTTCCTAGCATCTAGCTTTAAGTTGGTTGGTTATCTAGCTCACCTTTGGTGTTTCTCACAGTCTCAATGAGGTGGTATAGGGTTATCCCGCTTGTACATCGTTTTTATTTCATGAGAATTCTATCGTTGGAAAAAAAAACAAACACTTATAAAAACTAGTAAAGTGCACGTGCGATGCATGTGGTGAAAATATATTTTTGCTAATTAAGTTTTCATGCGGAGATGCTTGTTTCAGGTTACTAATTTTTATTTAACTCACTTTTAATATAAAGT